AAAAAAAAAAAAAAAAAACCACTCCTTTCCCATAGCTCGCTGGGCTTGGAAGTGGTAGCAGCTGTACTGGTTAAGACCCCAGGCATTGTGTGATGTCATCTCTTGTAGTTCCCCTAACTTCTTCCCTCCCTTATTTAAATAGACCCTTTGTTCAACTGACCTGGAATTATCCTAATGTGAGTGAGTGTGCCATCACTTTCCTTTTGGGACTCTGGTATATTTTTCTACTATAATGCCCTCTCTCCTCTGACCGCTCACAAAACTTGATTTTTGTCTCTTTGAAGGCACTATGCCTTTGCAAGTGACAAAATTTGCATACATGTTTTAAATCTGTCCCTTACTACAATCTCAGTGTTTAAGGACAAGGGCAGGATTTTAGTCATTTGCAGTCACCATAACCTGAGTGTCTGAGCCCAGCAGGGCCACTCAATGAACGTCAAAAGAAGGGCTGAACGAACAAGAGTATTACTGCATCACTTATGTTTTTCTCACACTTGCTTATCTATTACTGTTATTTGAACATTAAAACGAAAGTTCTTTCATGTTAGGGAGGAAAGTATACTTCGCTTCCACACCACAAAATTGCAGTTTGGGGTTTGAGCTGTCTGCAGAACTAGAACTCGCCTCCTCACACTAGTCAGAAATGTGCTCTGATGGTACGTCTCCGTGTGTGTTGCAGGCCTTTCTCTGTAGAGCCACCTGTGGGAACTCTTAACGTGGGAGAGTCCATGCAACTGGAAGTGGAATTTGAGCCACAGAGTGTGGGCAATCACAGTGCAAGACTTATCGTGTGTTATGACACAGGTATGCATTATTTTTGTTAAACATTCTACATGTTAAGGAAGATCAGATGGGAAATATGATAAAGCTAAACAGGAAATGGTTGTTTTTGGCTGCATTAGAGTAAACTAAGATCCACAATATAACGAATCAAACAATGAGTGCCTCCAAAAGAAACGATGTTGAGTCAGACAGATATAAATCTCACCTAACCCGTGTCCCTAGTGCTTGAAAACCTGAGAAATGTGGGGCTCGGGAAGGAACCCAGACCCAGAAGTCACACTGATAGATTAAGGTTATTTGTGTGTAAATAGAAACTTGGAGGTAATTTAATACAATGGGTTTTCCATTTGATTTATTGATACACTTGTCTGACATTTAAAAAATGTAAACCCCAGTTCACAATGTTCTTGTATGTGCCCACTAGTCTATGTAAGATCCCATTACTTTAATCCTTAGAACATGCAAATATCTCACTTAACATCTTACATGAATATAGGACTGTGTCTGTTGCCACGAGCATTTTCTTGAGGGCTATGCCCTGTGTAATCATTGTTTTTGCAAATATTTAATTTGTGGTCATGTGGACTGCATGTACATTACACAGTCTCCAAAGCTGGTTTTCAAATTAATATTTTACCAGTGCCATTTATTATTTCATGATTTTTCTCATTTCCTTCTCACTTCCTTTTTACCCATTCATGCTGATTAACCCAGATTGTCTGCAGAAGGACATTGTAGGGAGAAGTGCACAGCCAGGGAAAGTGACAGATGCCATCTAGGTCACAGTTCTGAGTTGCTGGCTTTGTGGAAGTGTATCTGAGCGGGAAGATTATTCAAACCCTTGCCTTAGGAACCATGGTTAAGTGGCCCTGGCTCCACATTGCCCAGCATAACAGCACATAACCAGGGGCACAGACTGTTGTTTTATCTGTTAGTATTAGCCAGAATTCACTGGCTGCTAGCAAGTGAAACTAGCGTAAGTGAAGGAGGAACTTTTGACTCACGTAACCAAACGGGGAAAGGTTAAAAGCACAGCTCATAACACATGAAGGATGTCAGTTTTCCAAGGTAGTTGTGCTATTTTACATTCTAACTGACAATGTATGAGTTACAGTTGCTTCACATCCTTGCCGATGTGTAGTATTGTTTTGTTAATTTTAGACACACTAGTGGTGTATGGTGATGTCTAACAGTGGTTTTACTTTTTACTTCTCTAATGATTAGTGATGTTGGGCACCTTTCCATGTGCTTAACGGCCATTTGTGTATCTTTTTTAAAGTGTCTATTCAAGTCTTTTGCTTGTTTTTTTCTTTTATTATTAATTTGTAGGTATCCTTTGTAAGTCAATATTCTAAATACTAGTCATTTGTGAGATATGTGTATTATTAATATTTTCTCTCAGGCTATAGCTTGCCTCTTTATTTCCTTAATATTTCTTAATGAGTAGCAATTTTTAATTTTGATGAAATCCATATTATCATATTTCTGTTTTAAGATTGTTTTTTGCCTCCGTGCTGAGAAATCTTTGCCTTCCCAACAATCATGAATATATTCTCCTTTGTTTACTTCTAGAAGGGTTATAGTTTTAGCTTATTTTTGTGTATGCGTGAGGTAGGGACCATGTGTCATTTTTTTCTCCCCATATGGATTATCGATTCTTCACCATTCCTATTGTCTAATTCTGGAACCCTGATTAGAACCCTAACTCTAATAGGGCTCCAGAATAGAACTTTATTGTTCTATTACTTTATTGTTCTATTATTCATTCCTTTTTACGTCTGATTTATGTTTTCTATTCCTTTGTCTCTGCAGACTGATCTGAGTACTTTCTTCTTATCCATTATCCCATTTAATAATTCCCTCTTCAGTGAACTCACATCTGCTGTTTTAATTTTTTAATACTTCTGATTATTTTCATTTCTGGAAATTTTATTTGGTCCTTGTCAAATCTGATTGCTCTCCACTCTTTTATTTTTCAAGGTTCCCCCTTATTTCTTAAATATACTAAACATGGTTATTTAGATTCTATATCTGTTAATTCAACTATATTAAGTCTACTTATTTAGTTTGCTGTTTATCGTTTC